GATAGACACAGTGGGGGGTTACAATCCAAAATGAAACATCCACCATCTTGAAAGCCTTAAGCTTTCAACTGAAAGATGAATGCTAACATCAAAGAAGAGCATGTCTTGTGCATCTTTTAACAATGTTCTCTGACTATCGATATTGAGGATATATTATTTGCTTTTAAAATCAAGCACTAATCAACATGTTTATTAATGAATCAAATCACTACTGTATGTGCCATGTTAAAAGACGTTACTTGAAACCACATGATGATGAAACCACAGAGAATGATAACTCAACTCTGCATTTCCTCACAGCTCTATAGAGCGTTTTAGCATCTGTTTCGATTTTCCATCTCTGCACTCTCGTCAACCTCATTTCCAGACACATCAGGCAGAATAAATCAAGTGTGTGCTACCTGCTCGGCACCACACGGCAGTTAGAGACTAGCTAATAAACACAGCGGAGCATTTCGCAGCTAAAATCCAGATATTTCACTCAGGAGTAGACCAAAACACAGCTAAAAAGGAGTGAATATTGGACTTACATTCAGTAGCTGGCTACATCTCAAAATTAATGCTAATGTTGTGCTGTGTCTGCTGGATGTGTAAATAAGCAATTCCTTACTAACACATTCACCATTAGGGCTGCAGCTAATTATTATTTTTGTTTATTAATCCTAATACATTGTTCGTGCGTGCGGACAAAAGGTAAACAGGATTTGCAGTGCAGTCTTACTGCCGTCTTGACAAAGCTTTCAACAAAAGCTTTTGAATTTACAGAGCTTACAGAACTTCACATTGTTGAGGCTCTTTCTGAAATACTCCATCAGAGACGGAGTTTTCCAGTTTTCCAATTACTTTGATGAGTCGCCCCAGCCCTATTTACCATAACAACTTTTAGAAGTGAAAATATGTCAATGTTGTGTTTACAGCTTGTTATGCTACCACCAAGTGGCCAAAAATTTTAATTAATGCAGCTTTAAGAATACTTTATTTGCCATGATCCCTAATCCTAACCAAGCAGTTTTAATAGTCAACTTGAGGTGTTTTATGCCTGTTTATTATGTTGCTTAGGTGGATGGACTAAAAGCAACACATTTGGTCCTTAAGCAAATAAGGGAAATGATCAAACAGTACAGTTAGAAAATGATTTTACCTCTTCACAGATATTTCTGTTGGATCTTTCCCCCAATAATTAGCTTTCACTTGCTACTGTGAAAATATGATGATCAATAAGGTCTGACTAACTGCTGATACAGGTCGATAAAAGTCATAAATTACCTCACATCCTTTAAACCTTTATCTCACCATCTGTCAACAAATAATGTTATCAATAATAGCGTTCTGCTAGGCCCAAAAAGATTTGTGTGAACAAAATGGTATAAAAGGCTACACTGAATAAGATCTTAAAGGCAACATAATACAAAACAAAACTCCTATTCTGCAATGTGTTACATTGACAAAAAAACTATATGACATAAAAACATTATACAACACCAAAGAGATTATAAAGAATAAAAGTTCAAAATTTTCATCGACCATCCAGCTGGTCTATCCATCTGCAAAAGACTGTTGACAGATTGATATAGAAACATGAAATGCTGCTTTTAATGCTTTTCATACTCAAGATGTATAGGTAGCAATTCCTTGGTTACAGCTCTGTTGTGCTTGTCATGTGTCTAAATCCACCATGAAACCACCTCTCAAGTAGGATCAAGATAATCCTGATTTTCAGCATCAAAACAATCTGCCTTTGAGTCATGTAAAACACAGATACAAGTTTTTAAAACTGATTAAAAGTAGGATTTGATTTTTAAAACCAAACCCTAGCCTGAGCAACGAAAAATATTATTTTTCAGGTTTGAAAAATACAATTTTCAGATTTATTCGATCCGATTACACTAATCCTATCAGTAAAGTCTTGAAAAACTGGGCTGGAACTGGATAAGACTTATCTGGAATCTTGAGTAGACGGAAATACTTAAAACCCATTAAACATGATGCAGGTGTGTACCAGCTATAAACATTTAGTTATAGGCCCTTTGAATGTCAAACTGCTAATCAAAGCAATGTTAGTGTTAGCTGCAATGTGCAAGCTACTGGACTACTAGGCTGCAGCATCCACTCAGTATACGATAAATACCAATGTGGTGCACTTCCAGTTGTTGTGTTTTTGTTTTTTTATCTGAACTTGAAACCAGCATCTTCGTATTTCTTCCTACTGTTGAATAGGTGGGAGGTTCACTGGTGATTAAAGAGACATAAAAAAAACTACTTTTTAATCTGGAGACATAAATAAATAGCTGTAAATCTAGATATATGTAGAAAGATTTTTCAAAATTAATAAGTGTTTAATCACTTATTTTAAGGCATGAAATGGTCAAATTTACATATGCAGAGAATCATCACAAATCAACAAATACTGCCAACTTCTTTCTAAAAATATCAGTTCAAAAACCTGTATTACTCAAACCCTACTTAATATCACTACGGCTCACTAACTCATTAAATGAGACCACCAACTGTGTTTTGATTAAATGATTAAACAGTGCACTTTCTTAAGAGGCGTTTGGGTTATTAACTTGTGCACTATCACACATCACTGTACAGAATATCAGCAGGGGTCAAATGACTCATTATCATATGTCACTCAGTCCTTTTCACTGGTAATTGCTAGGAACAGGAAAATGAAAACACAAATTTTCATCCCCTCAAGCCTCATGTGTGAGGCATTTGACCTGTGATTGTATGTACAAAGACAGCAACTGTGTGGGGCAGGGCATCGGTTTTTACATTATTCTAACAGTAGACAAGAAAAAGTGTTAAATGTTTTAACCACTGAGAGCCAAATGTAACTAAATTTTGGTGGTGGATGTCGTCAGAACAAGATTATCTGTCGAAATGCAGTATAGGCACAGTAGCAGGTTTAATTGACTTTAAAGAAAGCACTCACTCAGCACATGACAGCTAAAGCTAAAGGCCACGCCAGAGGCTTGGTGGCTACGCATAGGTTAACTATTAATGTTCTAGGCAGTACCACACCACCACAAATCTTATTTTCAAACATGTAGTTTGTCAACTTCAGTGGATAGTGAGCTCCAACCAAAAATACTGTGCAGATAAGGGGATTATTTGCCGTAGCTCTTATCTCAGGATATGTCAATACCTCCTTCAGGACAAATACAGCTACAATGCAGGGCAGGAGGTGCATATTCCACCCACAGCTTCTTTGGCTTTTCTCTTTTTTAAGCGTCTTTATAATTATTCTTCATAAGCTCTAGGTTGCAATCTTGTGTGTGTACTCCTACCTAAAATCCTCTATATGTTCACAGAAAAAGGAGTGGAAAAAAAGGAGAGGATATGAGGATTCAGTTTTATTCTAGTACATGTGACTCAAATGCCTTTAACAGAGCTACACAAAACAACATATCCAGTAGTACCATAAAATAACCTGAAAGACACCAGAGCAATATACTTATGGCTGAGTAATTATGTGTTATGTGACTATGTCACAGTAAATGCACAGTAAGAAGTGCAGTACTTTTTGATCACTTTTTTTTTTTAAACTTTGTATATTTTATGAAAAGAAAGAGATTTCTGCATGAATGCTTTCTGAATCTTCCCACCCTTGCAGGCGTATGTAGATTTTGGGCTATTTTTGGCCTCTAGCTCTAAAAATGACACTATTAAAAACCAAAACACTGAGGCCAAAAGGACACAGAGTAGTTGGCTTGCTCACCTTTTGTGGCCTTTTCAATTCAAGAAACCTCTCTGAATTTTTTAAGGCAATTGTGCTAAGCAGGATCACATGGGAGAAAGACACCTTTTTGATCTTTGTTACCAGCATAGGTAACCAGCCCACAGTATGAAAATCAGCAGTTCCACTTAGGCGCCATCCAAATAATCTCAAGAGGGGCATCTTGTTGATGGCAGCATAATAACATGTTGGGAACAGCACATTTAATGTGAGGCATTAAATAGCTTTAACTGCAGAGAAACAGAACAACACAGTCTCACTTCTGACTACGCTGACAAGCTGCTTTGAGACAATGAAGTCTGAACTACAGTACCTGCTTTGCCAACAATAGAGATGGTTCAGTGAACAGCTCAGTGAGACGCATCTCGACACATAATTTCAGCACTATGTCATGCTAGAACCAAAATGGGACTCAGAATATGCTATGCATCACATCACCCCGAGAATTTTTCATTTTTATGCTTTTCCTGTTGGGCTTTGTTACAGTCGTTGGTTAATAGTAGACACTGAGAGATGAAAGTACAACGCCCAACTGAGCAGGAAATACTCTAACAACTGAAAAAAAGTCAATTGAAAATTAGGCCTACTATAAAATACTGTTAAGGTTTTAAAGACGCTATGACATCACACCCAGAATTCATTGCAGCTTTGCACAAGATATTTATATTAATGAAGATAGCAACAGCTCTCGACATACACTGCTCCCCACTCTATTGCATTTATGCCCTACAGAGTTGATCTCCTTTTGTGTCATCCCACTATTCAAGAAAATAGGCTACTGCTGAACACATCCTCACTCTCTCTCTCCCCAGTTCTCTACAACACCACAATGAGTCTGGCATGGCATGAATGATACATTTGCCCTAAATGATCATGATACATTTACAAACATAGCCTACACATAGATATCTCAGACTCTTATAGTCCCCCTCACCATGTAACATCTGTGTGTGTGTGTGTGTGTGTGTGTGTGTGTGTGTGTGTGTGTGTGAGAGATTGCTTCCATGTCCCTGAGAGGAGGAGAAGATACTTCGTGTGTCAGACTTGGCACGGGAAGCGGGATGAAAACGGAAGAAAATGTGTTTCTACAACGTGACTGCATTCAAAGCCTGAAAACTGTAATTTGAGATATGAATTCATTAGACTGCCTCTCATCAGTAGCCGGGCATAATGTGATGCAACAGCGCCGCTTAGCGTCGCACAGTGCCGAGTCTGATGCGCTCTGACTGTGTGTTTCTCCCCTGGCCGCGGTCCTTACCTTCTGTGTCACAAAGCGTGGCTGCTGCAGGTTTGCGGTCGCGGAGGTTTTGCGCCTTCTTCTTCTGAGTCCGTGCGATGAATGTTGAGTTTTACTGCCGTGGTGTGATGGCCAGTGCAGGCAGCCACCATGACCTGTCCGTTTACTGGCATTTTGGTTCCTTCTCACAGCGTCAGTGAAACCAGAGCAAAAGTGTTCAAACTTGATCTGAAAAAAAGAAAACAAAAATGCTATTGCTTATTGCATTGCATTAAACCCATCAAAAGCGCGGACTTGTTGAATTTGAGTCTGATCTATAAAAGGACGCGCGCCTACAGGCTGGTGCCTATATGAGCTATTAACATCATTACCCAATGTCATTATATTCGTCGTTACTCATAGGCATTTTAACAGTTTGAATTCAAATACCAGCTCATGACAAGTGTCTCTGTGTGTGTGTTTGTGTATGTGTGTGCGTGTGTTTCTTTTGGGAATGCTGAGACACGGGCTTTTTGGACAGAAAGCTTGCGTGACGAAAACACAAGTTAAATTCAAAGGTGAGATGGTGAACGGTGAGAAAAACAAAATAGTAGGCTTCTCTCTCTCTTTGTGTGTGTGTGGCACGGGTGTGTGTGTGTGTGTGTGTGTGTGTGTGTGTGTGTGTGGGGGGGGGGGGGGGGGGGGGGGGGGCGTTAAAAACAGCCTGTGGCTCCTTAGCGAATATTCCCCTCACGCTCCCCTCTCCGGTGCCGGGATCGTCTATGTAGGGCATGCAGCAGGTTGTGTGCCGGGGACTCGTGCTCGGACGAACGAAGGAGCGCAGAGAGGAAGGCAAAACCAGCCACCCCACCACCCGCCTCTGCTCCACTTTGAGAGGAGTGTGAGTGTGCGGCAGATATGAAAGCGCTGAACCCCGACAAATGCTGCCCAATTTCCGCATCACTCCCCATCAGGAGAGAGTTAGTTGTCAGCTAAGCCTTAAAACAAAACAAAACCAAACATAGCCTAGGCTGCTAATTAAAGCTTACCCCATTCCCGTGACACATCTCTCCAGGCGGCCAGGTGGAGATGACATTGCAGCCTGTTACTCCATTCGGGTGCCCTCGGCTGGAGTGGGAATCACATACGACTGTTCCGTCAAATTAATCCATCAATTTCTCCTCCATCCAGTCCCCCCCCCCCAAAAAAAAACACAAAAAAAAAAACACAACCACCACAAGGATAAATCCACCTGTCTGCCACTGAAGACCTCCCCCCTCCACCACCACCACCACCTCTCCACTGGTAGATAGGTAGTATTCCTTTCGGTTAATATGTCAAACACCGTCCACTCAGTGGCGGGGAAGAAAAAAGCCGTTGGCGCGAGGGGATCAGTTAGACTCTATATCCAAAACAATCGTTGGTTTGGAATCTCCAGCGGCAGCCCCGCGCGTTCCGCAGTGAGGGCTCGTGGACAGGTCCGCGCGCCTCCTCCTCCTCCTCTCCTGTCCTCCTCCTCGCGCCGCTCGCGGATTCTTGGAGACTGAAGGGGGATTCCGTCACAAATAACATCAAAACACACACACTCACGCGCACACACACACACACACGCACACACACATATATTCACACACAGACACTCTCTCTTTTCTCACTCACCCTCTCCCTCTGCTTTTCCCTCACGCGCTCTTAGAACGAGCACCGCACTCCAAAAAAAACACCTGAACAATTCGGAACAAGTTTAAACGGGTCGAGTTATTTTTGTAGCTTTCTGCGCCGCACTATTGAGGTGATGCACCGGCAGCCGACCGAGCGCCAGTGCGGAGAGGAATAAGGAAATATTCTCCGGCAGTCTCTTTACCCCGCAGCCCGGCCGCCCACGCTTCGCTGGCTGAAGGTACTTACACATCAGCCTGGTTAATTAAACATATGGGCAACGGCCTGAATGAGAGAATGATGGTGTGGTGGAGGGGAGAGGTGGGTAGTGGTGGGTGACTTGTGTGACTTCATCGCCCCATTATAAAATATAAAAAAGAAATGTGGCGAGTTAAGAGTGCGCGCGCCAGGGACATATCGCAATGCCTACCCTCCAAAAAAGCGACTCCAACTTCGCAGCTTGTTAAAACGGATGTTACTCTTCCTTGTCTGTCTCTCTCTCGGGGGGATTCTGTCTCTCGGCGTGTCGCTTTTCCTGGCGTGTCTTCACCCACAAAAATGAAGGCGCAAGAAAAGCATGGCGCACACCATCACTCGTCGTTTATGGCATCACCTGGTGCCACTTCACCAAACGAAACCGCTCGCGCGCGTTTGTGCAAGCATCTCTCTTATCTCTTTCTCAGTGTGCATGCGTGTGTGTGTGTGTGTGTGTGTGTGTTTGTTCTGTGACGACTGTCTCGGCGTCAAACAAGTCGCCTCCGCTCCTCAGAGCACTGCGCACAGATAAAACATTTCAATATCCGCTGAACTGTTGTAACCCAATCTAGTGGTCCCCATGCAGAAACCCTCACCGTTTCCTCAAAATTAAAATATCAATCCCCTCGAAATGAATGCACCGAAATGTTTATTGCATGTCATGTTCCCTCGTCAGCGCCAGCGTTTGTTAAACGCTACATGTGAGATAAGGGGAAATAGAGGAAACGCTATAGTAAATTACACAGCCTCAATTAAACATAATTAGCAGATCAAAACTGCAGCACAGGGGGTCCTCGGGGAGCGCTGACAAAACTCCCCACTCTCCCTCCATCCCTCTCTCTCCACCTCCCTCTGAGTGTTGCCTTGGAGTCCCATTGCAGACAGATGGTGTAGATACTGCACGGGGTCATGTTAGCAGGCCAGGGATCTATAGGATTGGCTGCCATAAGCTGAGCTACCCTTTGAGGCAAAAAAAAACAGCATAAGCAGACCAGAGGGCATATTATTAAGGAACACTTCACTACTGTCCACTCCCTCCTCCACCACCACTACCACCTCCTCCTCCCCCTCCTCCTCCTCCTCCTCCTTCTCTATCCCTATAATAAAAATCTCCACCTGTTGAGGTCCTATATCCTCCTCCGTCAGAGTCCGAGCTTCTGATGCTTGGAATAAAAGAAACAGAGGGTTGCATAACATGGACATAAAAGAGAGGGAGACAAGCCACACTAAGAGTGGATCATGGTCTACTTTTCTTTTGAGGAAAGATTCCTGGGGTTCCAAATATAATAGCTCTGCCTTTCTTTCATACCATCCCACCCACCACCATCTCCTCCTGCTATTTACCCATTAGAGGCTTCCTGTTGGGACAGGCCTGGCCCAGGATACCCCCGAAGTAACTACAGAGGATGCTGTGTGATGCCATTAACAATGGCTTTCATTTTTAGTCTGTTAACCAAAATCTGCCTCAATGTAGTATATGGCTAAGCTGGTCTTATTCTATATTTAAACATTTATTAAGCTGTTGCCAAGGAAATAAAATCATATGTTCTTCCCGGCCACCATAAATAAGGTTTTAAAAGATGGTCCTTGTCTTTAAGTAGGTATAATCTCATTCAAGGTTATGCATGCCTGCAGAGCTCCCTCTCCCTATAGTAATTTCTGGGACATGACCTTTTTTAGGATTCAGTGTGAGTTTAGACTTGAAGATCTCTCTCTCTCTTTCGCTTTTAGAATGCATTCATCCAGTGCACACCAGCACAACACTTAGACAGTGAGTCAGCTCTGTCCTGTCTGTAGATAGTTCTAGGTATTTAGGCATTTTGTTGGAATTGTCTGAACAAGCCTCCCTGTTATTATAACTAATTTATAACCGCTGGGCTCAGTTGTCAGGCATCTTTCATGGGCCAACAGCACATTGAACAGAAGTTACCCAGGCATGTTGAGCTGCAGAGCCGGACACAATCACACAAGCAGACACTCAGCTCAAGCTCAAATCTGGCTTCCAGCATCCAAACACCTCAACAAGCCAGCTGCCTTTACCTCTTACCTCTGTCTGATTAAATTTCACCATGCTGTTGCTAATAGCTCATATCGGATGATTACAAAATATTTGAAAATCAAGGGAGACCCATTATCGCTGTGTAGTGCGTCAAAAGTGTGCTAACTATTTTGTTATTACTCTGTATAATTACTGAAGACAAAAGCTCATTCCACTAATGTTGTTTGGCTAATAGTCAAAGCCCAGTTCTCCAGTATTCCTGGAATGAATGAGAAGCACAGAAAAGAAGTCCAATTAAAGGAGCTCCAACTATGAAACCAGCAGGCAGGCTCACAAACAAACTGATAAAAAAATAAATAAATGAATAAATAGATAAATAAATTACAGGAAAGGGAACCGATTACACAAGGCCTCTGACAAATATGATGTGGGCAATTTTTGTATCCATGGTAACTGACTTTTTCAGAGTGTCACCGCTTTTGTTTTGGCAGAGGCACAACCCAGATACATATGGTTTATGTTTTGTGAACAGTGCTGGACTAGACACGTTCCCATTCATACAACAACTGGCCACGCTAACTGCTACATGATACCAGCCACATATTCACAGGCTGATGTACGCCAGCCTCACTGATCACACCTACCGGCACATACAGCGCTGCTGCAGCCGGCTCACTGCTGACGCAACGAATATGTAAATAATAAAATCTTTTAAAGCACACACTGCTAATTAGGTGCACAGCAAACTGGAACGCAGTCCATAAAAACCTGTAACAACTTTGCTTAAATGTTTTTTTGTAAAAAACACATTGTTTCCATGACAACAAGAACTGATGGCACACTTTGGATTGTAATTTCAATTTGTATGTGTTTATTAGGTTAGCACTGTGGATTTTATGCTTTTAAGCCTACCTGTTGAGGCAGTTACACAAAGCCCCGAAGTGGACCTATTATGCTTTCCCTTACTTTCTGTCATATATATATGGTTGTGTTTTTCAGCCAATCACATGGCAGCAGCTCAATGCATTTAGGCATGTAGATGTGGTCAAGACAATTTGCTGAAGTTCAAACCAAGCATCAGAATGGGGAAGAAAGGGGATTTAAGTGACTTTGAACGTGGCTTGGTTGTTGGTACCAGACGGGCTGGGCTGAGTATTTCAGGAACTGCTGATGGGATTTTCAAACACAACTATCTCAGAATAAGAATCAGAATCAGAATCAGTTTTATTGCCATGTATGTGTACACATACAAGGAATTTGACTTGGGATTGTCCATTGCTCACGATGTGCTTACTTATAATACAATAATAATACAATAATGCAATAATTAAATCACACACAGGCTACAGTATAGAGATATACACATATATACACACTATAAACAAAAACAATATAGACAGATTGAGACAATTGTGCAATGAGCAGAGTAAAAGGATGCAAATAGGATTAAAATAATTATCATTATTATGTACATGTCGGAGGTGGATGAGATCTACAGGTACACATACACGTACATGCATACATGTGCTCATGTACTCAGTGTGATGGAGAGTGAGGGAAGAAACTGTTCCTGAGTCTGTTGGTTTTGGCGTACAGTTCTCTGTAGCCCCTACCAGAGGGGAGCTGGAACAGGTTGTGTCTGGGTGAGATGGACCTGCAGTGATGTTTCCTGCCCATTTCCTGACTCTGGAAATGTTTATGTCCTGAATCTTTTCTGCAGTCCTGACTGTCCGTTGTAGTCTGCTCTCTAGGGTTTACAGAGAATGGTCCGAAAAAGAGAAAATACCCAGAAAATAACCCATTTTCTATAGGCACACTTTGGGCCCCGCGACAGTATACTTGACTATTGTTGCTGACCATGTCCATCCCTTTATGACCACATTGTGCCCATCTTCTGATCGCTACTTCCTACAGGATATTGACCACATTACGTTACTTGAACATGACAATGAGTTGCATACCAGTGTATAATGTTACAATGTTGGATGTTCATATTAATGAGGGAAGTAACCTTTGTGAGCAAAAAGCTCAGGCTTCAGATGGTAAATTAACTGTACTAGTCTTCTGACCATTCAAAGTGCTTTACAATTCACCAAGTAAGTGGGCCAACATAAAATAAATATGGATTTTTTTTTAAACTGCAAATAATGCAAAGCTACTCCCAGAATAATAAATATAGAGCTTTTAATTAGCATAAAAGGTCCCCTTAAATCCTTATTACCTGGTCATGCTCGCATGGTCAGCTACCTTACAGCATTACGTGCCCAGTTTTTAAAC